TCCCCCCCCCCCCCCGCCTTAAAACATTGTACAATCTTATACATGCATTTGTTTTAATACATTTTAAATCAATTACTAATCTTTTTTTTTAATTGCTCATTATACAGTACTTATTATGCATCTGTTTCCTTCTTGTTTAATACATTTAAATCCATTACTTTTTTAACTTTATATTAATTGTATTTATTTATATTGTTTGTCATCATTGTCTACCCTTTCAGTGTTATTCTTTTCTTGTGGACTGTACATTGTAAAGCGTCCTTGAGCCCTGGAAAGGCGCTATATAAATGAAACTTATTATTATGGTTTCTTATGCATGCTATGATTATTTTAAAATCCTTATGTGTAGCACTTTTAATAATTTTTGTGCATGAAATGTGCTATATAAACTTGGCTTACCTAAGTTAATTATTAAATAAGTTTTATTTAACCAAATTTATTCTGACTTTACAAAAAATGTTGAATGTTTTATATTACACTGGGAAAATAAAATCAAATGTTGATCGATATTTGATAACAAATTGCAGTAGCTTTTTTTGAGTTTCAGCACTCAAGTTTTTAAAACATTACATTAAAAACCAGTCATTCAATTTGTATTGTAAATGTTAACATACAAAATATTTGGAATTAGTTTTCATTTTAATTTTGTTGTTTTTGTCATTTTTACTATTTTTTTTTTAACATGGCTACATAGTTTGTATGAACTTTCATTTCAGTTTTAGTTAATTTAATGCATCAAGTTAAACTAAATGAAAATGATAAATGTTGCCTAGCAACTAGCTGAAATAAAATAATCGTAACAATTTTTTGTTTTATTACAGTTAAAGTTAAAATTTTATTTCAAATATTGAAAATGTTTTTTATGGCTTTAGTTCATTCTAATATGATCAACCATTAATAAATTATAATACACAACACATTAAACCAATAGCTGAAGGAAGGGTTTATTTAATGTGCAGCAGTTCATGTACAAAGAAAATTAAAGACATCCCAGACTATCGGTCTTTGGGCGGATTTGGGTTTCTGCGTCTGGAGTGATACCTGTAGTGAAAACAGAAACACAAACCAGTTCATTCACCTGAAACATGGCAGAATATGCTGTATGTACAGTACACAATGCAAACTCACTGTCCGATGGGGTACCAGCGGTGTTTGGTGGTGTAAAACATCTTACTGAGCTCCTCTATGGTCGGGGCCTGTTTGTTATTTAACACCTCTTTACCGAGTCTGGCTTTGAGCACCTGCTCGTGTGTCTCTGCATGATCACTGACGACGTCCGGCCTGACGATCGGCTACAACAAACAAAACAAACACAAACACTTATGGTTAAAATCTCCACAAAGCGGTCTTCTGCACCAGCACGAATATTGAGAAACCATCATACACACCTGTGAGAGCTCATAGGGTACGTCTACTGTCGGATGGTAACACACTATTGTGTCTCCATCAGACGTCACTGCGATTTCTACATTACTGGAACAGAAATGACACATTTTAGGTAAGCAAGCAATACAATAACACTTTATCAGGTATGGATGAAGCTGGGCATACAGTAACTGCTCATGCACCATCATATGTGACCCTGGAGCACAAAAGCAGTCTTAAGTCGCTGGGGTATATTTGTAGCAATAGCCAACAATACATTGTATGGGTCAAAATTATCAATTTTCCTTTCATGCCAAAATCTTTTATGATGAAAAATGGACCCTTATCACTGGTTTTGTGGCCCAGGGTCACGTATATTATAACTGAACAATCAAGTGTGCATTTATGAAGACTATATGAATGCACTGGCATCACTGACCTGTTGTCGTTAATGGATGAACCTCTGACAGTAGATTTGTTGTGAAATGACAGAAAAGTTCCTGCTAAAATTGAAAAAACAGCAAATTTTTTGTCGTTTTGTCATTGAATGTAAACGCATACAAGCCAAACCAGCACAAAACCACTCGTTATTGAGGCCAGAAAGGCTGCAGAGTACAGTAGAGCTCAGTCCTGCATAAATAAACTCAGATTATTTATTAACCAAAATGTGAATGTGTTTCTTTAAGAGAGCTCACCTCTGAGTTTTCTAATATTTCTGCTGGAGCTCGCTCGGTTAAACAGGTTAGCCAGTCTGCGGATGTGCCCCGACGCCATGCTGTCCGCCGGAAGTGAAACGACAGACAGGAACGGAAGTTAAACTCGCGGTTCAAATAAGACACGTTTTGCGACGTTTGCGGTCTATATCATTACATTAATCCATATTTTAAAAAATCTTTCATGTGTGTTTTGTTTAGTTTTGTGGTTGTAATCCGAACTGTCTTGCAATTCGACTCAAAATACGCCTTAGTTTTTGAATGAAGTTCACCGAGGAATTCAATTTTTTAACATTAGAGCGCCCTCTAGCGGAACTATTACAGACCGTGCGCTACACAAATATCCCTCCGGGTAGGAAACAATCCGTGGTCGTTCAGGTCCTAATAATCAATATTTTACAAAATTGCTTTATTTTATCGATAAAAAAAACATAGGCATAGTAAAGACTGGCAAACTAAATATAATAATAATATTTAAATTGTGGTCACTCTCCGTAGCCCACTGGAGATAGAGAAACGGAATAAATGCAGAATAAAAAATTGTAGCATATTAATTTTATTCAAATGTGTTTTGAAAATACCATTTAACAATTATTTACAAATTAGTTATCTTGCAGTACCTCGCAGCCCACTAGGAGGCAGCGTTACAAACCCCCTTTCTTAATTAAAACTGCACTGTACGGTAAATACATTTTAAAACTTTTTCTTTCGTTAAGATATGTGGTATTCATTGTTATTAATCTGGGTATTATCAAAGTACCTTTTCTATAGTCTTTGGCATTGTAATTTATTAACATTGTTATGCGTGGAGCGCCCTCTGGCGGCCTAAATATCCGGACGCGGTTCCAATTTCCCAAAATAACTATATTAAATGGATAATCACGGAGAATTAGGATAAAATAAAACCATGAAGCCAATTCGTTTTCACTAAGATTTATGAAAGATAATATTTTAAAATGGCGAAAAATAAACTTACAAACACTAGCAGTACCGCAATACGCCACTGGAGGGCAGCGAAACACCGCCATAAATATTGTTTTATTCATTAGGATAAATGAAAATAATGGATAAAATCAAATTTATTCATTAGGATAAAATAAAATCATGAAGGCAACTCGTTTTCACTAACATTAATGAAAGATAATATTTTAAAATGGCAAAAAATAAACTTACAAACACCAGCAGTACCACAATACGCCACTGGAGGGCAGCGAAACACCGCCATAAATATTGTTTTATTCAATAATAAATCAGTCATTTATGATAAAGCATTTGTTTTTCATAATTGATCAGTTTGGAATCGTAAAATGCTGACAGATATCATTTGGAAATACAGAGTAAGACAACTGCCTTGGGATTCTGTAATTTATACTGTAAATTATTTATCATAATTCTTTATACATTTCCTAAAAAGAGGAAATATGGAGAGAAAATTCAATCGTCAAGATTCCCTCAAAGGAAAGCGGCTTCAAACATTTGTCAAAGGCAGCAAAGATTTGATATCATCAGCACATATATATCAGAAGATATCTTTTCATAAGATAAATCTGTATATTGACAGATGCTTGTTATTTCATTCACTATGAATCGCTGATCCATGATTTTCAGTCTTCTGTGCGTCCCGTCGCTGACTCAGTCTCACATGATGTGGGTCGTTATGAGACGTCCATTTCACTGCTGGACGCTCAGGATACTGTATTCACCACCAAACGTTCCCGACTGCTGAAAGCCTCCGCGACTGGAGATACAACAGATCACTGTTAGCAACAAACACACACACATCCTCTGGAACCGCTGGAGATTCTCACCTGCAGCGACGTCACTGATGTCCCAGACGCGCAGCCCGTCCTTCTGTCCTCCAAACGCACAGACGAACGGCAGATCCGGACAACAGGAGCCGCAGAACACACCGCCCTGACAGAGACAGAGGCGCGTTATGAAGCCGCTCTCAGGCGCTCCGGACGCTCGTGTGTATATATAAGATACGCACCATCTTCATGTCTCTGGAGTGGATCAGGGTGGGTTTGTTTCCCAGGATGTCCCAGATCTTCACGTGTTTGTCTGCTGAAGACGTGACCAGACAGCCGCGGATCTGACTGCTCAGATCCAGACCTGAGAAAACACGACGAAACTTATCATCATCAGAGACTGTGTCGTTTTACTATTATTGAGATACTAGCATAGATTTGATTATTATTACAAAATAATTCATATTTAGTTTTTTTCATTTTAATTTTAGTTCAAGTTTTGTTTTTGTTTTTTGCATTTGTATTAATGTCTATATAGCTTTTATTAATTTTTATTTCAAAAAGCCTTTTTTATGATCTGAGACTATTTTACCATCACTGATATACTACTATATTTTTATAATCTGCAACTGAGTTATAATTTCATATTTGCATTTTTTTATTTATAATTGGCAACTGAAACAAAATAAGCTTATTTTTAAACATTGTTATTTCAAATAACGAAATTGTTTTATGTATTTAGTTTTATTAACTATATTAACTCTGATCTGAGTCTATTTTATGAGTTATTTTAGTATAATCAATAGTATACTACTATAGTTTTTAATCAGTAATTAGAATTATTTTTTATATTTTTTGTTTT